ACCGTTTTTAATGCGATGAATTCGAAAGAAAAACGCCATAACTGACCAATTCTTTCGTCGGCCTGACTGAGAAATGTTCCAAGCTACCTAGTACGTACGAATTATTTGGAATATTTGCTCTTATGATAGAGCGCAGGGAGAAAATGCACTCGCTTTTTTCCATAGAAATGCATTACCGGAAGTCAATTTTTGACTGGTTGCTGTCTGCTTCAATTTGCGTCAGCACACTAGCGCCACTTGAACCTCTAGCGTACATTATAATAACTCTATGTCGCAAACGGGTGCCTTTCGAGTTGTGACGTATCGAGAAAGAAGGGGCGGAGCCTCAAACTAGATTGATTCTTGTTTGAGGCTCCGCCCCAACGTTCGGGTTCACGCACGCGGTCAGCTAGAATCCGACGATCCCCCTACGTCGCGATGACGGGTCCACGCAGTTGGGGCGCAGAAATCCCCGCAGTTACCCCTGTTCTTTTTGCTATCTTCTTTCTTTCCTCCGGGAGTTAGAACCAGCGAATAACGAAGAAAACGATACCTTCCGGAAAATGGAAGATAACAGACAAACATAATATTATTTTTTTTATAAAATAGGAAAGATTATTTCAATAATTATGGCGTAAAGTAAATTTAGCTAAGATATCTCAGCTTGTTTTGTTTTTTTTTCGAAATATTTCTCTACGGTCTTTGAAAACAAACATGGCGAAAAACGCGGCAACGACCTTGTGGTGTTTGTGTCTCGTTTGCGTCGTTACTTTCCCTGTTTCTGCACGATACGGATGGCATTACGAGAATAAAATATTATGTGAAGCTACGCTGCGACACCGATCTTCCTTTGTGAAGCCTCCATGAACATAAGCTGCAAATGACATTTCCTGTGTGCCTGTGAAGGAGACTCCAAATGGATACAGAGCTGACGACGTCTCTGTGGTAATATATGACAAGTCATGAGATTGGCGTAGAGTGCACCGGTTGTGAACATGCTCTGGATGATGCAGGAAAGTTTCTTCGGGCAGTTTTAATAATGCTTTGCTCCCTTTGCTCATTGTAGTGATTACGACGGTAGTCCCCTTAAGCCATGCTCTTCTCTTTTTCGGTGCTGAAGAAATGGACATGACCGTACAATCTCGGGCAGTCTTTTTTACTTATTGTTTATTTGCAGAAAAGCCCGTTCAAAAAGAAAAAAAAAACGGCATTTTTACACGCCCCTACATAAGTGCCTCACTATCCCATTGGCTTCATTGCGCGTGACGATTCAACGCTAATTGCCATGGGAACGTTCGTGAAACTAGAAAGCCTCTGTTTGCCGCTAACAGCAGTTTTTCGAGTTCGGGTTGAGACGACAAAATGATGTAAGAACAAGAATGCTCGTGAGTATTTGCATTGTTCTAACTCGACAACCGTACCCACTATAAAGCCGGTCGTGACAGTACCCTAGGCGAGATAAACTCGAAAGAACATGGCCGCGATGCTCGTCGGATCGACCGCGGCTGGGGTTTGGCATGCGATCGGTCACTTGATCAATGCGCACACAAATGATTTCGTGCTGTTGGATGAGCTCATTCGGCGGCAGGACCGGGTCGAAGAGCACAGTGAGCTGGGCGTTCAACGTCTCCGATATAAAACTTGGCGAGATGCAAGACATGGCTTCTATTTATGCCGGCGTTATGAAGCTTGAAACTGGTGGTGTTGTTGTGGTTCTTACGGTAGCTTTGCTGATATTATGAAGACGGTAATAAACCTTCATTCAGCGTTGCCGTGCGTCAAGATTCAGAACCTCACCTTGACACAAAGTGAACAACGCTTGCGCGAGCACGGAGGCAGGAGCCAACGGTCTGAGAAAGAATTGTGCCGCCGCCACGACCACCAGCGATCGCCAAAATGGCAAGAAAACAAACGACAAGCTTATTGAGGTTTGCGTAGTGCTCACTGTTGATTTATCGGACGACAAAAGTGAATGATATAAAACGCAAGGTAAGTTTGCCAGCGTTTTGCAAAACTAACACGTTTCGTTGAAAATTCAATTTGTGGAATTTGTTAACGCCTTGAAAGTTTGACGGGGACTGCACTGTGAACGCAGCCCTCACACAAGTGTTTTCTAGAGTGTGCTTTACCTGCATGCATATAAAGACAGAAACACTGCCGATATAGTGCTTAAAATAAAAAAGATTTCGCTTATCCTGATAATGTTGACTATCTATTGAGTGCTGTTGACAGTAGTGGCGTAGCCAGGAACTTTCGAGGGGGTGAGGGTGGAGGGGTGTTGAGGTGGTTGGGATGTTCATGACTTAGGGTGAGGGGTGGTGGTGTTGAAATTTGTGTGCATATTCTAGGGTCTGCCGAATTTGGGGAGGGGGTTGGGGCCAAGCCCCATTAACCTCCTCTCCCCTCGATCCCTACCCCCTGACTTCGCCAATAGTTGCTGACATTCTTTACGTTACCTAGCAGTTCTTTCTTTATTACATATGCTCCCTTTTCCTTCACACATCTACTCTGCCTCCGCTTGTCGTTCATGCTTGATGGTGATACGTCAACAGCGCGTATTTTCTCTGCATCACAGGTAAATTAAAAAAAAAAAAATCCTGTTCACACTACTCTTTAATTTCAACGAGTTCCTGTCACTTTTGAAACAACAATATATTTAATTGGTGTCATAACCTTTACATGAAACACATGTGTGTTGAATGTGGGACAATTGCATATTTATTGTTTTTCTTAGTCATTGAGATGACAAACATCCACAAGATTGCACTGGCTAAATTTCTCGTCTGCTGTGGGTAACAATGTTTCCATACCCTGTCAGACTAAACTCCCGCTCTCTAAATAACTAACGATTCATTTTAGGACACACCTGTTCGTAGTTCATTGCGGGGCATCGAAAAGTATTTCTTATGACTGACATGCAATTTCAGAAGCTTGGCGTGAAAAGGTAAAATATCTAATTGATACAATGAAATGCCATCAGCAGCCCATCCAGGTTTTATTGCGTGATTGACAGTAGCTACAAACAGCAACAAATAATCAACTCAAGACATAGGTATTAAGGGTGCACTAACTTCGAAGCAGTAGAAACACTGAAGTTTTAACGTCAACGTACAACCATGTTGTTAATGGCAAAGTGGTGTTTGCGGCAAGGTGTTGGGGTCCTTCAGAACGGTGACGGTCACCTTCAGACCGATGATGATGGTGGCGAAAGTTCAGTTAAATTCTAGGTTCAGTCAACGCACCCCACGACGTCGGTGTGCTTGTGGTGGCGACGAAACCTTCTTTCGCACATGCTTCAGCTGCCTCAATCCGGGGTTTTGTCGACCCAGCCGTCTGTTCCCAGCCGGTTGACAGCGACACTCGCGACGGCCGTCACGGCTTTAACCACCATCCACTGGGCATTAGCTATGTGATCATCGGTGGCAACTGCCCCCTTTGTAGCTCCCGTTGCAAAACATCTCAGTGCGATTCAATTAGCAGCTGCTGTTCGACGGTCATCATCTCTCATCGTTGCCGTCTCTCATCGCGCAGCTGGTCACACTGCGATCGTACGGTGCTTTTCGACAAGCGGTATTGTCGTCAGAAACAGCCGTCGTGCATCGCGAAGGCAACCGGGTGCTCGCGGAAAACCCGTCATTGCACGCGTTGGTAGAGCCATCGTGGCGCAACAGGCATCGCCGCCATTTTCTACGCGCTAGAATCCTGTCCAAAGCTTGTTCCGAAGTTAAAAGCACGAGCACATTACTCCGAACGATGCTTGCACAAACGTTGGCTTGCACTGCGCAAGCGCGCCTGCTTGACAGGGACGTTGAAAGCCCGGAGCACGTTCTTGTATGCTCCTACACCCACACTAGCTCGCACTCGTAGTGAAACAGAGAGTAGGGTGTGTCGAGTAATACCGCAGTTAATCTAGTTACGCGACTTCCGCTATGTGCTACGTAGGTCGGGCGTGGTCATACGTTACTTTGTCGTCACGGTCCGAACTCGAACAGCGACAGTTACGGCAAACGGTTGCTTTCGTGTTTCGCGAACGTTCCCATGGGAACTGCGTGGAATTATCACGCGGGCTGTGGCCAATAAGAGCGCGCGGTTCGTAGGGGGGAGGAGTTTTCGACAAACACGAACGTGACCGCCAGGAGGCCGGCGAAGAGGAGAAACCACCACTCACGACGAGCAGAGAGCTTTTGGGGAGGAGCTCCCACCGTTAAGGCTGTTTCACATGCCGCGATCCTCGCCCAAATTCGGTGCGATTTCCAGTAAATGTGCGATTGAAATCGCAGTCGCACTGTCGCAGCGGCTCTGCGTCTGGTTTCCACCAAGTTTGTATTTTGTCGCAGATTCGGTGCGATCACTTCATCGCCAACCAGCCGTTCATTGGCCAGCTTTCATTAGCGATAGTTGCGTATTCGAAAATGAATTTAGACGCCTTAAAACGTTCGGTTTAATGCTTAATTATTAAAAATTTCTAGCTAGATGTTGTATTCGTAAAACATTTCTGTTTACTAAGACGTTTTTGTTGTATTTTCGGCAAAGTCAAACGCGTCGTTTCCGTGTCCGAACAGCCGGCCGCGCCGACAGAAATCGCGCTGTTGTTGGAGCATGTGAAACCAAACATTGCGATCGCACTCGCTGCGTCGGCTGTCGCACCGATTCTTTTCGCAACAGTCGCTGCATGTGAAACAGGCTTTAGTCCTAACTTGCAGCAAAACCAAATGCGGACAGCAAGTCCTCTACTACTTCCGTAGGGGTTGCGAAGACGTCAGGACGACGTTGAGTCCTAATTGGCTTTGATTAGAAGGAGAGTGAGTAGACCCCAATGCTAGATGCCTTGACGTCTACCCACTATATTTGTTTTTTAATCAGCCAATAAGAGTTCTGTGTTCTGACGTCATAGTGACCACTGTGCAAGATGCAGACAAACTTGCGCCCCGCACAGGCTGCGCCGTACTCTTCACCAAAAGAGCTACGTACGTCACGGTTGTCGGTTGAAGAGGCTGTTAAAACCGGTTTACGGCACTCACCTTATGACGCGACGAAGTGCTTCGATTAACAAGGCGATTACCGCCGTGTAGATGAAGAGGGCCGCGTAACTCCACATTGCGGCGCCAAACGCACGCTACCGAACTGAGAACTGAAAAAGAATGCCGGAGCCTGCACCTATAAAAAGGCCTCCACGGGTTCGCGGGTCAGACAGCTATCGGCTGCTGCAGATACGGAGTTCGCTGGGTTCGTTTACCCGATAACATGTTTGTATCTATGTAAAGTGCGCTTCAGACTTAGCGCCGTCACGGCATTTACCGCTTCTGATAGTCCCAGCGGCGGCCGATTGAGCTATCTGAAGAATGTTTGGGTTGCCGATTTCTATATCCCATCCTGAGAAGGCATCCCGAACGTTTTGGTGACAAAGGTAACAGTAGTAAGCGGCCGCTACCCGTTGTGATCTGCCAGGCTTTGTCAGTATAAGGGAGGCTATGCTATGTAGGAAACACTTGCACGCGGTAGATAATCAACGGTCGGTAATGTTGAACCGTGCTCCACGCAGAGTGCTTCCGAGATATGAATAATATACTAATCGGGCGTTCAGAAACGTTGCCAACGTCTGCTGGTCGTTGATTAGCCGTTATCCTAGGATAAAAATGCGTTCTTTTACGGGGCCTTTCGGGAGCGGATATTTCCAGCTCTTTTTTATTTTGTTTCTTTCTTACTATCGTTCGGTCAGAAGAAGCTGCTTACCAACCAAGAGGCTTGTCGAAAGGTATTGCGCAAAAAATTCAGTTACTTTTAACGAGGAAATAAATAAAAAGCAAATAAGAGGTGAAGTATGCACAAAAAGATTTTTTTGTTTGTTTTGTTTACAGCGGCAGCTACAAAAATAGGGAGTTTTCGTAGATCGTTTTCGCTGTCCCGCTACGGCTCTCCGCAACCCGCTACGATACCCGTATCTCTACAGTCAAAGCTACCGGCGCGCAGGCGCAGTAGAGGCTTGTTCGTTGCGAAGGGCTTAGCAGAGGGGGAAACGCGGTCTACAAAAACTCCCTAATAGGGAGTTGTAGTAGATCGTTTTTCTCCTCCGCTACGGTATCCCCGAAGAAAACGCCCCAGCTGCGCATGCGCGCCGCCAGCCTTCTCTGCATAGTTCAAGGTCTTGTGGCGGATTACGGAGCGCTATCCGGGTGCTTAGCGGGCTGCGGAAACGGTCTACTACAATTCCCTATTGTCGCGGCGGCCGTACGCAACAACTTTCGTGATAGCGGAGCACGCGTCGCCCCATCCACGCCGCGCTGTCGCTCACCCCGCCAACCTCGCACCTCGCAAAACTGCGTCATCTATGGCATGCGCTACTTCTCTCGCAACTCGCCCCTCCGCCTTCTTCTCGCCGCCACCCGCACCGCACCAGCTCCAAAATCGCAGCTGAGGCCGCCGACGCTTCGGAGCTCCGGATGATTCTTCACCGCGTCTACAAAAAGGCATGAACCAAACCACGTTCTACAAGGGCGTTTCAACCAAAAAGCACATCTCATAATCATTTTTTTACACCTCGTAGAAGCATTCCGCAAAAGCACACATCCCCTTCACCGAAAGTACATCATCTTACAACTACTGAAAGTAAATCTCCTAAAACACTTTTTCGGCTTTCAGCTTGAAAAGGTTCAAGTATTCAGAGGGGGTTACGCCATTACACTAAAAAATGAACAGAAAAAGATCTAAACCAGAAAATGTAATTTATTCAACCGTAGTAGACTTTTTTTAAATATTTTATGAAATGTGGATTTTCCAGACACCTGAACCACATAACCCACTTAAAAAGCAAAAATGCATAAAAAAGGACACACTAAACTAGCGTGGCGATTGACTACGTGTTAATTTTTTATGCTTTTGAATAAACAATAATGTATAAAACACCTGTGAACTCGTATTTTTGTCTTGCACCAGTGGTATACGTACGGTCAGGCGTGTTCTTGAGGATGTTTAGGGGTTAAAAGCGCTAAAAACGACGGACGAGTAGGAGAGACACACACCACAGAGTGTGTCTCTCCTACTCGTCCGTCGTTTTTAGCGCTTTTAACCCCTAAACATGTTCAACCAACTAGCCCAAATCCAAACCCTTCTGCAGTGTTCTTGAGGGTTCATGTCGAATACGCTGACTGCCCCTACGCACTTGCACACACTAAAGCCGAAATTCCACTAATAATAGGTAATACAAAACGTCCGTCTGTTGAGTCTCTCAGGCCTGTCTGTTCCTTGTATGATACGGCGGTGTCGCACTGGTCATACAAAAACTCCCTGCAAACAGGTTTAAAGCGGTCTTAAAGGCCGACGTACAACCTCGATTTTCTGCAGGGAAGATAATCCTGTTAGCGATCCCCTCTCCTAATCCGAGAGGGGAGCCAAGTTGGGACAAGCTTAAAAGTGGAGAGGATATAGGAAAGAAGAGGGAGAGCAAAAGTGGAAAGCGCGAAGTGTACGTCGGCCTTTAAGGACTAATACAAATGGTACGTCTTGCAAAATCGGAGTTCCAAACGTACGTACCTCAAGTTGGGCACGCAAACGTAATTTCGGAAAAAAAACGTGTTTTGTCGTATCCTTCTATATACTGACAAAGCCTGGCAGCTCGATACGAGAAGCGGCCGCCAAAAAGAAAACGGTGAAGCGGCAGACAACGGATGAGAGGAGAGCCACGTGACTGGCGCCCCGCTGCGGCGAGGCACCGAAACATACTTCTTCGAAGCGAACCAGTGTGTTTCAGGTCCTCGCCGCTGCAAAAGCTCTACGCGGACGTCCAGGTTTCTTGAGAAATGGGTCGTTGCTGCTCTCCTCTACCAGATCCTCGCGCTCCAAATCTGCGACCGGGCCCCAGTATTTGTTATTGGTTTTCGGCGTTTTTGTGCTCAGCAAGCCACCCAGGAGCGAGCTCTTAAACCAGTGTGCAGACGAACAACAGGCTGGTGAAGGACACAGAAAATACACGGCCTCTGATTTCGCTTTATTCCTAATGTTTCACTACCTCAAAATCAAGCTCTAAAAAAATAAAAAGATAGCCATAAAACTTTGGACGAAACTTCGTTAGCGTGTCCAGTTTTAGGTACTGTGTACGTCTGGAAATCGATTTTTTTTCTAGGCATGCCCAATGTGTCGGCGCTTACGGCCGCATGCAGTCTGTATGCACATAGCAAACATGTTTCGAACATGGTTGAGGCTTGTCTGCACATAATTTTATTGTGTCTGTATACCGACCACCGAGTTTTTGGTTCAATGTATGAGCAGGTTGACCTGGGTTTAAAGAAAGGTCTGTCAGTTCGCTTTCCTGCAAAACGCGAAGACAACGAATCACGGCGAACAATGGAAGCATCGTAGTGAATGACGAACACGACTGGAACTGAAAAACACGACGAGCACGCGGACAACCAGCCATGGTCCCCGCAGATATCGCTCGTTTCTTTGTTTCGGTCTCTAATCGTTTTCTGAGCTCCGTCAATCAATGAGATCCTTCTATCGTTCGCCGCGATTCGTGTTCTGAAGAAAAGAGAGCTCACATAGCTTTTTTTTTCAGAGCAGCAGCTTAAAAGGGTGTGAAACCATATCCAATTACATTTTTTTTGTAATGCGAAAGCATTATATGCATTATTTAAACATATAAAGTAGCGCAAAAAGACAGGGACAAGAAGTATACAGGAAACGTACTAACTTTAAACAAGTTTTACGCAGGAAAAGCAAGCATATATACACACAACACGCAAAGCAGCACCACATAAAAGTTGCTTCATTTTGTGCCCGATCATTCAGTAACAAAAACTAATTACTGTGAAGCACAATAGAAGGGTCGCTGACACATGACATCCCACTTTTTTTTTTCTTTTATAAAGAATACCTTCAATAGCTAACGAGCGACCGTATCTCGGCTTCTCCCCGGAATCCTTATCTGCTGAAGTCGTGGAACACAGCAACAAGTTATCTAGGTAGCACGTTTGTGTCGTTCGATGACAAGCTGTTTATCCAGCGGAAGGGCATTAGCATTGGGTCATGCGTCACTCCTGTGCTTTGTAACATTTTTTTGTCCGCTCTTGATCGTGATTTGAATCGTGTTTTAGACGCCGACAATGTTCTTAAGGTTTTTAGATACGTGAACGATTTTCTTGCACTTTTAAAAACTAGCATCTCTGTGACGCACTTCGATACAGTACAAATCATTCTGTCAGCTTTTGAACAACATGGGAATGGTTTACTGTTTACTCATGAGCTCCCTGACAACAGTCTTTTGCAGTTTTTAGATAGTAACATGACCATCAACGACCGACGTGTGTCTTGGATGTATCGACCTCGCGCGCGGAAAGAGTTACTTCATTTTGATTCAGCTCATTCGAAGACGGTTAAGAAATCTATTGCGACTTCATGCCTGGAGTCTGCACTGCTGAAGTCTTGTGACCACCAGGCGGATGCTAGTTTGAAATACCAGATTTCTAGACTGGAGTTGGCTGGCTTCCCGTGTTCGGTCTTAGTTTCTGTAGCGGAAACCGTCCTACAAAAAATGAGGTGTTTTAAAAGAAAGGTCCCAACGAGGCAGATAACAAAAAGACCAGAAGTTATTCCGTACATCCACAAGGTTGCCCACAATCTGAAGAAAAGGGCAAGCAAGTACGATGTTCCCGTTGTGTTTTCTGCTTCAAAAAAGTTGAATGTGGTGTGCTCCCGCATTTCTGATGAGAAGGCAAAATGGCCATGCGATAATTCAATTCGATTCAATTCAATTTTTATTTTCAGATCATGTCATACAAGATAAAGAGCTGGCCCACAAAAGCAGCATTCTGCTTGTATGTGGGGCCAGGCGACCAACTAGAATACATGTTGTTACAAAAAATAAACACAAAGGAAGCACTCCGCAGCACAACAACAACAAAAAAATCAAAGGAACACCAAATTAGCAACACAAATAAATACAAAAATGGAACACTTTAGAGGATGAAATATAGGTGCTTATTGCCAAGTCTACTCACGCAACCATGAAATAAAAGTACGAAATATCTCCAACGGTCAGGCTACGATATCTGCAGCTCAGATGCTTGACACCAATTCCTTAGTTTCCGTTTTAGTACCCTAGTGGAATTTATATTCATAAGGGACTCTGGGAGTTCGTTAAATAA